GGTGGCCCGGCGCGGCGGCAGAGGACACAGAGGGGCTTCTGCCTGACCTCGGAAGGGCGGGCGGCCGGGAGAGTTGGCGCAGCACAGACAGTGGCGGCCAGGGTGCCTCATCTTCTCCGGTGCTGCTGGAAAGGCCCTGGAAGAGAACACGCCACAGGGCAGAACCCAAATGCTAGAGCAGCTTGCTCCCGCTCGCCGCCCCAGCCCTGCCTCAGTGAGTCTCCCCGGGCAGGGCCGCTTCGCGTGGTTCGCACTTAGAGGCCTCGGAGTAGACTCTCAAAATGTCTAAAAATTTCGGCCGAATGGCTAAGTCCTTGGGCCACTCCCTTCTGATTTTTTTTTTCTCCCTTACAGAGGTGAGGTTGAGCAGCCTTGAATCTGAGGGAAATGCCCATTGTCACTCCCAAATCCATGGTACAAAGCCTCGGAAGCCCGGCTGGGAGCCGAGACAAAAGCGGCCGGGGCGCTGGCGGCGGTGGGCATATTCCTCGCTCTACAAGTTGCCCAGCTCACCCTTGGAGGGCTCCCGGCCCACCTCCAGCCCCGAAAAGGAAGAGGGTAAATGGCTACTTATGGCCTGATTGATTACCTTTGCCAATAGCTTTCTGATTTTGTTCCAGAGGGGATGCCTTTGCCTTGTAGCTCAGGCTTTCCTCAGAGACATGGCCCACTATCAACAACTAATGGCTCTCCCCACATGATCGGAGAAACGGCTAAATAAAAATTACCCTCCTCCTGCCCAACCGGTGTTAAGTCTGGGGCAAATCTATTACAACGTTTTCAATCTAGCATTCATTCCAAGCCCTCTCCCCCACCCCCAGGAAATGACCCCCTAAAAGAATTCTGTCTTGGAATGTTCCTGGTTTGGAGGAGGAAGTTTAAAATTCTGAATGCTAGTGTCCCAAAGACTCCCTGGACGAGGACTTACAGCACCTAAATGGATCGTTCTTAGGGAAACATTTAAAAGGAAGAAATGGAAAGGATGTGTTTTGTGAAACTGCTGGAAGCTGTTTGAAACTGCAGGCAGGACCTGGGGTAACGAATTTTCTGTTAGCTTTCCCGTGCAAGGCCTCTTCTCCCTTTTCCCCGACAGGACTAGATAAGTCTGGGCTCTCTAGTGGGATCCTGTAGAAGCCGGTGGAAGCTGGTGGGAGTCTCCCGGGCCATGGCAGTGAATGGAACAGTAGACTTCATAGGAGGTTATGTTCATTTGCAAAATTTTCAGTCACGCTTTCTGCATTTTCTTGCATCCCAGATGCCACCAGCATTTTGTAATTAAATAGAGGAAAGACTGGGGGAAATCTTTTCATTTCTTCCTTTAAAAAAATTTTAATGTGGGCCACTAAAAGGTAATGACTGAGCATAAAACCCGTCCACAAGGAGATCAAGGCAAAGTCGGATGGGAGAACTCACCCATCCTCGGCTTCTCTGGGGTATGGCTGTCTTGCGCTTGGGATGGGGGTAGGGCTGAGGGAAAGGGGACAGAATTGGATCCGCTGCAGTGCTACACTGCTGCTTGTCCTTGCTCCTGTAATGAAGGCCGGCAACTTCCAGGTGGGCAAGACTAGCTTCAACCTAGCCCCTGATGATTGCTCGCCAGCCAGAAATCACCAAGATGCCACTGAAAGCATTAAAAACAACACAACCAAAACCAAAGAGGAGAAAAACACACAAATGGGAAGCTTCAAGGAGAAAGTGGCTTGGGGTATAGGCTTACTTACCAGGTTCAGGCCAGAGGAAAGCTCACACCCATTGAGAGTGCAATTATATTACTGTCACTGGGGACTAGGAAAGGAAAGAGGAGACTCCCCTTCCTCCCAGTTATGAAAACTTCACTTTCAGGCTAGCTTATCATTCCTCTCCCCCAACCACTGCCAAAATCCAATACCCTAGGCCTTCTCCAGCTTTTCTCCCCCATCTCCCTTTCCCTACTAGTCTATCACTCCCTTGCCCAAATGCCCCCAAAAGGGAGTGTAACCAGAAGATAATCTCACCATAGGCTTTCTTTTCCACCATAACATATTTCCATTTGAGAAAGCAGAGGGAGCGAGCTCGTTTCCAGAGTTTATTGCATTATACATGCGACCAGAACATGCACAGAAAGGACAGGTTGCTGTTGTACTTCTACCAAACCACAGATGCACCACAAGGGAAAGGCTACAAGGCATAAATCATCAATATCCCATCTCACCAAGGACAATTGCTAAATTCATTTGTGAAAAGATACATTGTAATGTGCTTTTTAAGTCCCCCTCCCTCCAAGCTTGTGGGTTTTCTTAATCTTTTTTTTTTTTTTAAATATATATCATTTTTAAAGTACTGGATGTATTCAAAATGCCATGAGTTCGTGGACTAACCACACACATAGACCTTTTGTGTTAGGAAAGACATGAAAAAGTCACATTGCTGGATGGATGGATGGATGCTCTACAGTTTCAATAAGTTAAGACCCAAATGAAAATGCGCAATAATAGTTACCCTGCATTACGATGAAAAAATAATAAATTACACGTGCTAAGTTTTTTAATATATATATGTGTGTATATATATATATATACTCATAGGGATTACAGATCACTTGCAGCACGAACATAATGACCCCAAAGTCACATTCTAGCAGGAAAACAAAATACAACAAAACAAAAAACAAAGAGCGGTGAAGGTTTTGTTTCCGCTTTCCCAGTCCTCCAGCACTGGGCCCTGGAACGCGGTGCCCCCTCTCCAATCCTGGCCTCTGACCGGCCTCAGACCTAAGAAAACGTGAGGTTGGCGGTCAGTTCTCGGATCCGGTTCTCTCGGCTCATCTTCTTGAGTTTCATTCGGCGGTTTTGAAACCAAATCTTGACCTGCCTGTCGGTGAGGTTAACGCTCTTACTGATCTCTAGGCGGCGCTCGCGGGTGAGGTACATATTGAACAAGAACTCTTTTTCTAATTCCAGCGTTTGGTGCTTAGTGTAAGGGCACCTCTTCTTTCTGCCACTCTTTGCAGTGAGCCAATTGCTGGTTGGTGTATCAGACTTGATTTCCTCTAACAAAATTAAAGGGAGAAGAAGAAAAAAAAATCAAGAGTTTTTGGTTTTTTTTGGTTTTGGTTTTTTTCTTCAGTCTGTTCAAATGTACCCTTGGCCATGACCCTGCTGGCAGCCAGGCCGCTTTGGAAAATGCTAGTATTAAACATTACTCACACGAAGTGGGCCCTGGAAGGGAATCTTACACTGATGCCTCATTATGTGAATGACATGATGGCAGGACAGTCTGCATTTGGGTTCTCTCTCTCTCTCTTTCAACTTTCTGACTTGTACAAAACATTAGTACAATAGTAAACTTTCCAGATCACCCCAACAACATTCTAAGGGTTCAGCTCGTAACAGGGACCGAGGGGAATAAGCCACAACCTGGACAAGCCTACCAACCCCACTGCTGCCTCAAGTCCCCAAATCTGCCGCTTCTTCCCCACCTCTCCTAGGCAGTCAGGGAGCCCCACAGTCAGGTTTATAAGTGCTCATTCTCTTTCAAAAGATAAATGGGGAAGCTAGAGCACCTTTCCCACCTTGCCTGGGTATTGTTGCATTCCCCAGAATTTCCTTAATTTTCATGTCTTTTTGCCCCCACACAAAAGCATTTCCCCAGAAATGGAGCCCCCTACCATGGCCCACCTCTAAGCACTGGGGGAGAGGAGCGAGGTTCCTTCTCAAAAAGCCAGATCCCTGGCTCTTTTCCTTAGCCCAGCACTAAGGCTGGCCTTGCAGGGTGGGCAATGCGGGTTCCACTCTCCCCCTCCGCCTTTGCCCTCTTTGCCGACGGATTGCAAAGCCTGCAGCACTTTTCCTAAACAAAGCCAAGGTTACCTAGCCCAGCAAAGGCAGTAAGCCCTGTTTCCCAACTCAAGCAGCAACCAGACCAGCCATCTCTTTCCCCTCACCATTCCCAAGCTCGCAGGATGCGGGGTGCATACACGTGAACACGAACACGGTGCCCTGGGTCACCTTAACATGATCACTGGGCTCAAGGCAAAACTGGAACTGCAACTCTGAGCAGGAGAAAGGAGGCTCTGGGGTCGTGTTTACGAGCCGCAGGTCTCCTTTGCGCTCTTTTGTTGTGTTTCAGGTCTAGCTCAGGAAAAATAAAACCCGCAAGCTTTTCCTCTGCCCGGGCGCCATCAGTGTGGGGCCAGGACTGGCGGGGAGGGCCAGGGCAGCAGGGGAGAAGCGGGGACTCTCTCAGGGCTGAGATCAGCCCTCTAAAAGCCAGGCGGAGCAGCACCTGCCAAGTCGGGCGCCAGCTCGGCGCTGGACACCCCGGCACTCCCTCTCTGCCGGGTTCCCGGGCTGCGCGCCCCGCTGGGGTGGCAACTCTGCTCATACCGACCTTTGCTTTCCTTCTCCTGCACTTCGGGACTGGACACGGAGACCTCAGCCAGGCAGCTCCTCTCTTCGGGAAGGCCGCCTTTGGCCTCGGGGCTCTCCACCTGGGAGACTTTGGTGGGCTCCTGGCCGCTCGCGGGCTCGTTCATCTTCTTTTCCATCTGCAGCTGGGCAGCGGAGAGCTGTGGCTTGGCCGCGCCACGAGGGTTGAGCTGGAGCATGACAGTGGAGCTGCCTTCGGGGCTGTTATTGTACTCTTGGGTTTTCCCGGTGGCGTAGGTCTGACTCAGTCTAAAATATCCAGGGACGGGAACCTCAGGGTTCTCAACGGGACAAGACTCAGGGACCAGCCTCTGGTACGAAGGGACCTCGGCCGAAATGAGTTTGTTGCGCTTATCAGAATACATGCAGCAATTGGATTCTTCCTTAATGTTGGTGGTGAAGGAGCAAGTGGGGACTTGCTGTGTAACAGGTTGCTCTATTCGACAAGATCTGTTCGGATCTGTCCAACTGTCTACTTGAGGTATATAAGGATGCACATTCATACCCATATTTTGGTGGTTCACTTCTCTTTTGGCCAGAGACGGGAGCAGTCCACAGGTTTGCATTCCATAGGTCCCCATGTCTGCGCTAGGTGGTGGCATGTACATGCTGGCGCTGCTCGAATAAAAACTGTCACTCCTGCAGGCACTGATCAAGGAATCTACTAAAAAAGTATTAGCAGCAGGAGAGCTGTTGGGAAAGGACATTTTGGGGAAGAATTTGAAGAAGAGAGATTGTGTCCTTTGTAGGCTGACATCTCTAGGAAAACATTCCCCGTGTAATTGTGGATGCCTCTGCCGACCACATGACAACCAAGCCAATGAGATTTGAAAATGGCCTTGAGCCGCAGCCTCCTCTCAGGTCACGTGCTCCAGAGCCTGGCCGGCCAGCCGCGTAAGCACGGACAACAGCGACATCTACTACGCGCCCGCGATAGTGCGCGCTGGAGACAACCGGCCCAGCGCTCTCCGCCGCCCTCCAGTCCGCCTCTCCAGGGCACGCCAGGCCAGCCCGCCCCACTCGCGTCCCCCGCTTCGGCCACTGGACCCAACTGGCGGAAGGAAAGGCTCAGCTCTAGGGGCCTCCAAGTGGACACACACGGACGGGGAGGGAAGCCAGAGTGCCCTGGCGCCAGCGCACAGAAGCATCCCCCCCCACACACCCAGGCAGAACGCGCTTAAGAGGGCCGGGTCCAGGACAAGCGGGTGGGGGCGCAGGCTGGTTAATTTAGTTCCGGGCAGCCCAGCGGGGAAGGTGAGTCGGATTCCGCGGGTCCTGAGACATCCCACCTCAGGGATCCAAAGGAAAAACCCCTCGGGGCAAACAAGCGGCCAAGGTGTCTCTCGGAGGGTGGAGGCAAAAAAGGGCCGAGAGGGCCGGGAGGCCAAGCAGCTGGCCGGGCCCAGATCCCCATGGATGGGTCGGGTCCCGGCGTTGTCCTCCCCCTCGGTCCTGCTGCCTGGCTCCCGGTCCCTATGCGCCCCAGCGGGCTACACGAGCCTTCGGCTCTCAGAGGAACCACACCCTGACCTCTGCGGGGCCGGACATCTGGGAGCTTTCAGCCCAGAGACAATTCTTTGCTAACAGTTCACTATCCGCGAAAGCGTCCCTCGGGCTCCCGGCAGGAGAACTAAATCGAGGTTTCTCTCCCCACACCCTGATAATGGAGGGCAGAAAGGAAGGAGGAAAGGAAAAAAAATTTAAGAATAGGAGAAAGTCTGACCCTCAGAATCCAGAAGTTTTAGAAAATTGACTGGGCCAAGGAGGACAGAGAGAAATGCAAAGGTGTCATTTGGTTCTTCTGCAAAGAAAAATGTTTTCCTTTTATGGATTTTGTAAAAGCATTGGTTTCTGACAAGTGCAAGGTACAAAAGGTTGTGGAATTTATTAATACATATTAAGAAGAATCAGGGCGATCAATAAAATTCTCATCTACATTCTTGGGCTACTTGGTAATTTTCTTGCTTCTGAAGGTTTTTAAAGAGTTATGCCCGCTGTTGCCACACACGGGAAGATACTTTATTAACAAATCAATCGAGACTTTGTAAAGGATAAGATTAATAGTTAAATTTAGCATAATGGCGTTCACTTTATGAATTATTGAAAATTATACTATTGATTTTTTTCCCTTCGCTGCTAACCAAGAAGGTCAATTTTTGTTTTAACACAAATTGTCAAATATTAAAAGCTGTACTTTTGTCAGAAGTTGAGTTTTACAGTTTTGGACAATTCCTAAAATTATTTGACAAGGCTTTACTTGGGTAAGGGAGGGGAAGGCGGTGGGAACCTTAGTTCTCTGTTTCCTTTGGTGAGGGAAAGTTCTATAAAGAGGATATGGTCTGATGTTGTGGTCCAGCTCATTAAAGAACCACCACTACCACCACTACCACCATGGAAACTCAGAGTTTTATGAGAAACTTCAACAACTTCCTCCCTCCCTCTCTGGTTGCAGGCGGGTGAGCCGCCCTGCGGAAGCCCGGGCCTCGGGGCAGCAGCGGGGAGCTTTAACCTTGATTTCCAAAGACTTGCCCTGAGTGAGGGGCTGGCCAGGACTTGCAGCTGTCCTTCAGCCTGCCAGGTTCCCTTCCTGCCAGCCGAGAAACTAAAGCAGCCCCAGAAACTCTGACCGTGAACCAGTTCTCAGTCTGGGAGGGCATTTGTGTTCTCTTTTCCCCACACTCGCTGGGGCATGGGCTGGCCTTGGATTTCAGGCCCACAGACTGAACTTGTGGGTAAATTGGGTTTCCGCCTCAACAGAACGTTTCTTTGGGGCCTGATGTTCATTAAAGCGCCTCAGCATTCTGGGGGACCTAGTAGCCCGCTCGCTCCTTTACAAAACCCTTTCCCAACAAACCCTTTGTTCCTCTTCCCAAAAAGGAATCTCCCCTGTCCTGGTGGAAACAAGCGTTGAACATTATTTTCGGCCTTGGGACCGTTTCGCTTGTTCCCTCTCAGTGCTCTCGCCCAAACAATAACCTCTTTTAAAAAACTCCGCGGTGGCAATGAGACAGACCTTTTAAACCTTTATGCAGCTGTTCAAATACAACATCATTGTCAGGTTAAAAGCCTGGCGCCTCTAACTGCTTTGGCTGCGGCATCCCAGCATAGCCTGAGGTTTAAACATTACCTTTCCACAGGGGTGGCTGTTTTTGAGCTTGGGGGTGGGGGTTGAGGACGCAGGGGGGGAAAAAAAAAACCCTAAACTTTTGACTCTAGGTTGCTAAGGTACTGTTCAAAGCTAACAACCACTGAGCAGCGCCCTGAAATTTGCTTTCTCACATAGTAGAGATCTTGTTCCGAGCCAGGGCTAAGCGTGCCCAAGGCTGGATACAGTGCCCGCTGCACTCGCTTGCCGCAGGCGTCCTGACACCAGCTTGGCGCTCCAGCAGTATCGAGTGTCTCCCTTTTGCCTTTCGGCCAAGAGAGCTGCTGGGAACTCGTTTGCCCAATTTTCCCTACCCTAAGCAAGCCAAGACTGCTTAATCTAATCGGGAATTTTATGCCCATCAAATGCCCTTTCATAATCTTTATTTATACATGAAGAAAACATACAGGCTAAAAACAACCAATTCCTTGCGGGCGGGTAGGTCTGCAGTGAATAGGCAGGATGTGTCTTCAGAATTTGGGGACCTTTCCATTTCAGCTTTCAGTGACTTTGAGCTCAAAGTCACTCCCATATTAGAGTTACATAGGTTTTTACTCACAGACAAAAATGTGTATATCAGATGTAGTTCTGAATCTGTTCTAAAAAAATTCTATTTTTATCTTTAAAATTTCTGCCTTCAGACCCTCTCCTTGAGACTAGAGACTGCCAATATTTTGAGATATTTTATCATTTAAAAATTGAGCAAGATAGAAATAATATAAAAGAATGATCTGAGCCCCAAAGGATGGAAAGTGTGCCTAAGACTCTAAGGCTGAGATGAGACAAATGGAATAAAAAGGCAGTGCTCTAAAGGCCAGCCTTTATTTTGCTTATGAGTATTTAACGTAGCTGATGGTTTTGATCATCTTTAGATCAGTTGGAGCAGTTACCATTAATAATAAATCAATATTGCACCATAAAGGAGATGAATACCCATATTTGTACCAAGACGCCCGTCTTCCTGCCACAGTTCTTTCCAGGGAAAAATTAAAAGAATAACTTGAGCAAGAAATTAGCATTTGTAATCAAAAAGTGACTTGCATCTGCACTCTTGTCTCCTGGAAGAAAAGTTGAAGCCCTGGGCCTGAGTGGACCTGTGGGCTCTTAGGGTCACCCCGGATTAGGCTCCCGAGCCACCTCTGGGCTGTGTCACTCTTTGGGGACAGAGCGGATGGAGTCAATGAAAAGCTGTTTTCCCAGGGCTCTGCTCCGGGTTGCACTGTGCACCTCCAAGCCAAGGTGAAAGGAAATCTAGTGGGCAAATGAGGAGTCTACCACCAATGCAATAAGGGGTCTATCGAGACGTGCAACAAGGGCCGGCGGCCGGAGAGCCTCTTTCTTCACAGACACAAAAGACTCCTACTTCGCGCATTTCCCTTCCACTTCAGAGTCTGAGACCTTGGCGCCTCAGGATCCAAGGCCACTCTCCGCAAGCCCCACACACTCTGAAAGATGGGAGTGGGGAGAGATCTTCAGCCCCCAGAGGTCCTGGTCTGATTCCAGGCCCTTGTCAGGCCCATCTTGGGCGCAGGGAGGAAAGGAACTGCAGACCGCTGAGAAGCGGTGTTTCGCAGGCGGCTGCCAGCCAAGTACAAGGGGCCCCCGCACAGCCAGATGTGCAGCCGCTGGGGCCGCCTTGGGAGGAACACAACGACATTTAGGGAGGGCAGTTCTCACTCCACGTAGACCGAGGACCCCGTTCAGCCTCGGGAAAGGTTGCCTCACTATGGCCAAGCTGGACCGGCGGTCAGACTAGTGGAGCCAAGGTTGCCCGCGGGGAACACCCACACCACTCGTTGGAGCCTCGCCGGGGGGCTCACTGGCGCCCCAGCCTCCCCACCAAAGCTGAGGCCAGCTCCGGGAGACGGGCGAGCGGCAGGCCCTAGGGCCTTTGGTCCAGGGCTTGGAGGGTCAACAAGGCTGGCGCTAATTCTGGGGGTTGCAGGCTCTTCACAATGAACTTCGGAGAGGGAAAGGGGGCAGTCATCCTCCCTTAGAGAGGCCAATGTCCGGCAGCCCTGTCTCCTCTCTTGTGAACTCCGGACGGGGACACAGGCCCTCTCCAAGGTCAGGGGCTTTGCTGGAGGAGGGAGGGCACACAACGAATGCACTGCTTTTGAGAGTCAAAATTCAACTCTGCTCAAGACCGGCGTGCAGTTTGAAAGGGTGGCGTGTTCTGTCAAACGCAAAGCCCGTTTGCTTCAAATACATTCCCCGTTCCACAACGCCTTGAAGTATAAACGTTTCCCCCAGTGCCTGCTGCGTCCCGTGGCCGCATCAGCCCAGCCTGGCCTGGGCACAACAACTCACAGTCCTGCCGGCGCCACCCGGTCGCCACTGGTAGCCGCGCACGCCAGGCACGGCCCCGGGCTCCCTAAACCAGAACGATTCTCCCAGTCCCCCATTCGTCTTATTTTTTTCGGAGAGACATTTGGTTAAGTTGGCCGCGCCCTGATCTGTTATAAACAAAAGCCTTTTAATCATTCCAGGCGGTCTGAGAGGGAGCAAAACCGACGAAGGTTTTTTTGGGTTTTTTTTGTTTGTTTGTTTTTTGTATTTTTGTTTTTGCGGGGGGGGGTAGGGGGATGTAAGTGGGGGGTGTCCAACCCTAGACAAGGCTCACCACACTGAAACCAAGAAAATTGATTTTCCCTAATTTAATTAACTAGCAGTGGCTATGGTGTATTTCAAAATGCATACATTTATCTTTGAAAACTCTCCTCCACACCATCAAGTTATACCAAGCTATTCTTTTGCAATAGCTTTATCTTTAAAAAGACAAAGATTAGGTTATCTGTTTCTTGAATCTAGTTGCTCCGTTTTCTGTCTCTATACAGCTTCTCACACCTCATGGCTGCTTAGAACAAATAAACTAGCAAACACCTTAGCTGCCGCCTGTTTGTAAGGGGTTGAGGTCGCCTATTAGAATCCAGTATTGGACAGATAAGGTACCGCGGCCTCTTGGTCAAACGCGGTTTCTGGAACGTGAGCGCGCCCTCGTGTGGATCTCCAGGCCCCTGCAAACGGGAAATGGTATCTCGGGTTCGGCTTGCCTTGGGTGGTGGGCACACAAGCTTGCTGTGTTTAGATGAAGTTTTTAAAAAATAGATGGAAGCAGAAAGAAACAAAAAAAAAAACAGTTTTAAGCTCATGTAACGATCATACTATTGTGGCACTGACATTTTAACCGATATCTAGAATCTCAAACAAAGGAATCCCCTTCTTAACGAAATTTTTCGATTGTAGGCTTTGTTTTCATTGCATCTTTCACCAAAGGATGCTTTTAAAAGCAATATAATTATATTTCCTTTTGTTCCTTATTATAGAAAGTGCAATAATTTATTTCACAGGGTGGCAAGTTGCTTTCAAATTTAATGAAGGTGTAGGGTGCACAGAACTCCCTCTTTCAAATGCTTGATTTTAAAACTGCAGTTCTTCATTAAAGCAAAGGGGATCACTATTTAAGACCCCCCGCCAAAATTCTCAGCCTTTCCTAGCTGTAGTGAAAGCAGCTAGCAGGCATTTTAATCTAATCAGTATTTTTAAAAAGAAGTTGACTGCTATTGCATTACACAAACGTTTGCAGGGAAATTAAGGTTATTGATCCTGAAATTAGGAATTTTCTTAGATTTATGGTGAGCTCCTGGTATGATTTTGTGTGGTCATAAGTGTGTGTGTGGCTCTGGCTATGTGTGAGCATGTATGTGTGAGAGTGGGTGGCAGCTGAAAATCAAGAAGAACCTTAAGGCGCCTAATTATTCAGAAAGGTTAAAGGTGATGACCTTGACATTTCGGAAGTTCAAAGGCATACATTTATGCACTTATTTTTTCCTTCCCAAATAAGGCTTAGCAATTTTTAAAATTGCATTTTGAAATGCATGACTCCTTGGAAGATGCATGGGATACTGTGCATTTACAGATTTATATTTTGTCTTTGGGCTTAGGAGAGGTTAAGAGTCATAAGATTCACTTCACTCTTTTCAGAGAGAGAGAAGCTTTTCTCACTCCTCCAGTTTATTGCACATTGCGGAAATCTCTTTTGGGTCCACCAGAAGGTGTATAATATAACCCAATTAAGCTGTTTAGAACTTTGGCTTTTATGGTGTTGTCTAGACAGTTCAAGGTTTTGTAAACAGCCTGCCTGGCCCTGCAACATAAAGTGCAGTACAGCCCTCACCACATTCTTTAACTTGAAGCGATAAATGCCACGAGAGGGTCTGCAGCTCCTGGCCCTATTTCAGTGGGGGCGGGGAGGGTTTACCTTCCCTGCTTCAGGTCCACTGATGATACCAGCAAGCCCTCTTCACCTACTGATGACTTCCTTTTCGAAAACTTCTCCCTTCAATGAAAGGTTCTAATTTTGGTTTCTTCTTTTAAGGGACTGTGGCTCCTTGTTAGCTTGTAAGAGATCATTTGGATTTTCTAACCAGTTTTTAAAAATGGTTGTTGTCTTTTCAGAAATCCCAAGTACATTAGACTAGGGGTAGGGGTGGGAGTTTGCTTCTTAGGTTTCTGCTGCCCCAGCCTTACTGTCTGGAGAAGGCAGCGCCAGCATTTCTTGGTCACATCGTCAATTCAGAAATTCATCACTAACATGATTTTTAAAACCAGTAACCTAGAGGTGGTGGGAGGGAATGACTACTATTTTAGTGGGACTAAAAAGTATTTCATTCGATTTTCAGTTGCATGGGTTCTGGCCACTAAAATATCCTAATGAGGCACTAAACCTCGAAGAGGAGAATTCATACAGTGTATTGAAGCTGTAACCTCCATTTTACTAGAAACCATTTATTCGCACAAAAAAAAAAAAAAAAAAGACAGTGACTCATGCCTTGATATGACAGACTAAAGGTACATTTCCCAAAGTTTAAATAATCTGCATTCACCGAAGAGGAAGGAAGGGATCTCTTAAAACTCAGAGCAAAACACCAGCGCCTTCTAGCACACCCAACCCGGCCTAACTTTCTACAGACCCCGCCGCGTCCCCACGAGGACTCGGAGAGGGGGAGGGGGAACGACAGCACATTGGCGGTAAAATTGTAAAGGGACGTTTGCATTTACCATTTTCCCCTTATTAGGATCCGCTCGGCCAAGTTCCGGCCTCGTCCGCAGGCTGCAGTGGTCGCTGGGAGGTCCCGAGTTGACCGTGGGAAGGAATCGTGAAGTTCCACAGAGAAGAGACGTCATTAAACCCAAGGACATTGGGCCTGCGGAGGGCAGGCTGGTGGGAAGGAGGGTGGGTGAGTGGGGCTGGGGAGGGGGCGCTTCCTGGAGCTCTCAAAATAAGGGGTTTCCAGTGAAATACTGCAGACGGTCTCTGTTCAGTTTCTTTTCTTTCATCCTGCGATTCTGGAACCAGATTTTGACTTGCCGGTCAGTGAGGTTGAGCATCCGAGAGAGTTGAAGTCTTTTCTCTTTGTTTATGTACACGTTAAAGAAAAACTCGCGTTCCAGTTCGCGGATCTGGTACTTGGTATAGGGACAGCGCTTTTTCCGGGACCGCTGGGGGGCCACTGCAAGGCAAAGAGACCAAGGGGTGAGAGAGGCCGCTGCCTGCCAGCCCCCATCCGCCCGCCCGGGCCACTGAGCGAGGGCCAGACCCTGGCCCCGTTGGGGACGTTCTCTGCCGCGGCTGAAAGGCCCTGCCTGCGTCGTGGGGGATGATATATGGGCGGGCACAGGAGAGAGTGCGGGCGTGGACATGTGTTCACGCCCGGACACACACACACACACACACACACACACACACACAGCCTGGCACGGAGGTGGGGAAGGAGAGGGCCAGGCAGGCTCTAAAGTGGAACCTGAGGGAAGAGAGACAAGAGCGGGCCCGCCGGGGCATCTGCTTGACTCCAGCGGCGCGCGTCAGCTAGCGGCTTGGATAAAGTCCAGTGCAAGGATCAAACTCCCCCCTCTTCCCACCCCCCGCCTCTCTCCCTTAAAAGCAGGAGGCTCGGGTGTACGCACTCACACTGGCTTGAAATCTCCCTCCCTCCCTCCATGGTCTCTAGCACCCCCTTGCCCAAAACTGGGAAAAGGCTCTCTACAGCGATTAATGTCCTCCTCCAAGTCTACCTTAAGCCCACCTAAATTGGTTTCCTACCATAAACACGCTTTACAACGGCCCGGGAAATCTTATAGGATGTATAAACCTCTTCGAATGCTTATAAAGTAGCACATAAAACGGCGCAAGCAGAGGGAGGCCCCCGCCGTCCCCCCGCCCC